GGGAGGGGGAAGAGGGGACAGAGGGGAACGAGGGCAATCGGAAAAAAAGGATCATTCGCAAACATACAGCAGGTTTGCAAATGTCAAGATTGAGGTTAGCTGCAGAAGTAGTATCCAGATAGATTTCAACTCTTAGCTGTGGCCCAACCGACAAAAGAGACACACAGTAGGAGGGAGAAGAAGCTGAGTGAGAGATGATGATACGATCGCAAATGCTAAAGAATAATAATTAATAACGGCCGGGCCGTTGCGGCCGCTGCCTGTATTCTTAGGCACAAGCTAGACCCAGACCAGTTGGAGCTTCCACCCCTGATCGGGAAGTGGAATCGAGTCAAAGCTGTTTCTGGTGCCTCAGCGATGAGGCAGCAACAAAGTGCTGACTGATAAAGAAAGGAAGGCGTTAACTACGAATTACGACGACTTTCCCCCGACAGAGCGCAAAGTGTCCTCCTCCGAATAGTCAACAGTCTGTCTGTTGTTGCTCCCCATTGACACCACAAATCTATCTTCGGAGATTAGGTATGTTCCTTGCATTGACTCAACTCAGCATTCGACATGTCGCCTCAATTCAACCTTCCTTCCTACCCACTGCCCTGCATCCCATGATTAAGGCTAACGTGGCTTTCCCCCGTTCTCCGGACAGGTAACTTACCCATCTCCGCTATCTACTTCCCTCCCTCCTACAGCGCAGCGCTGTGCCTCTTCCTGCTGTGCATCGCCACAAAGCAACCTCAAAACAATTTCGATTGAACCTCACACCTTGATATCTACAAGTCTCACCCGACCAGTCGATCGCAAAGAAAAACAACCATCACAATGATCACCGACGACGAGCTCCACCGCCTGGCCGTCTTCCTCGGCAGCTGCGCCATGATGATGATTGTCCTCTACCACTTCCTCGAAGTCAACGCCAAGGACGACGGCGCCGAACTCGACGCGCCTGCTGACCAAAAGGTGCCCGGGATCTCGCAGGAGACGGCGGCGGCGGCAGCGGCCGTGGGATCGTCGTCGTAAGGTGTCACGGGGGCAAAACGCAAGACTGGCAAGGGAGGATGTATACCCACAACCTGAACGTTCTGTTTACTTTTTTTGTTGTTGCTTTCTGTCGCATTTACTCTTGTGTTCTGTGTCTTGAGTCTAGTTTAAGCGAATGACTACGGGGTGGAAGAGACCAAAGGCAATGGGCTTGTTTGTTTAGAATACCCGGGCGGTGGTCTTTTGGGCTCCCATCCAATGCATCGTTTACTTTTACTTCCTATAAATCAGTTCGAATGTGTCTTCGGGTGTGTCTTCGTATGTGTGTCTTGTATGGGTGTATATCACCTTTCAGATATTGCCAGCTTTTCCACGATGTTAATGTACAAAGTTGTGGTATCCTGGGTGGGGGAGGACGGGTTGGGGACGAACCAAAGCTGGGTAGAGTCAGAGGACACCCTCCACAAAAGCAACCGGAACACCTAGGCCTCGAGACCGACGCTCTCGGATGAATGATTCAAGAAAAGTTGAGAAAGAGAAAAGATAACACCACCCAATGCAGAATGCCGGTTCCCGTAATATGGAGTTACCATAGGTTTAGACAACCACTTCATAAACATCCTCCTCGGTGTTCTGTCGCTCATTCCGCACAAAGTTGGTCAATTCGCACCCGCCCGGGTCCAGACCAACCCCGATCTGTTCTTTCAGTCGCTGCACAGCCTTGAGGATTTCCTGCGCTTTTTGCTGCTGGGTAGTTCTGCCGTGAACTTTATGGTAGGCTCGGATCGACGAACCACTCGCCGGGAAGATGAGCATGTCATCCATGCCAGGTCGACAGTTCTGAGGAATCGTAGACAGCCCTGTTTTGCTAGTGTTTTCACCTATCGGATAGTGCGAGCAGAAGTCAATTAATGATTGCCCTTCAAAATGCTACAAGTCACGCGTAAAGTGGAAATGCGATCATCCAGATGCTTTCTCACCAGGTGTTGGCACAGATGGTCCATCGCCCAGCCTCCAAGCGATAGAGTCCAAATGGGCCTTCTTCACGTGCTTAAAGAGCAGCGCCGCAGGCATGGGCTCCGGGTGTGTGCATCCTTTCCAGCCGCAAGTCAGCTGCTGAGAGACATGGACCTTGAAAATGTGTTTCTTAAGCCACTCCAGGTTATGAAGCCTAGCACGACAGTTCGTCCACTGACAGCCGAAAACCTGGTACTCCACCGGTTGTGCGCTCGTCGTCGGTACCGGCTGCTGCTTGGGCTTATTGCCGCTTCCAGGCGGACGACCGGGTCCCCGCTTGCCCACCATCGCGCTCGCTGGTGTCTTGGGTGGGGAACGTGACTGCGGCTGCGGCTGCGGCGGTGGTGGCAGTGGGGTGTACGGCGGGTGCAAGTGAGAAGGACCACCGGTTCTGGGAGGTTGCTGGACCTGCGGGCTAGGAGACTGGAAAGAGATTTGGGCGCTAGGTGGAGGTTGCGATAGCTGCACTCGCGGTTCCAGGTTCGGGGGCAATGCCTGCTGAGGTTGTGCAGATGATGGCGGGACTGGGACTGATGGGAAGTTCTGATGAGGCGGCGCGGGACGCGGCGCGGAAAGTTGGTTGGACGGCGGAAGGGGAGCGCCCGTCCGTCTTTGGTCACGTGCTTCCTGCGAATCTACTAGATCCCATCGAAATGTCGCCAGATCTGACCCGTTTTCCACATGTGTGAACACATCACGTAGACGAAAGAGGTGGTGGTTCAGAGCTTCTTCAGTTGGATGACGGCCGGATGCAATCAGGACATCTCTGGCAATGGTCTTAGGGTCATAAGCCAGCTTCCGAGCAGCATCCGCTTCATCTATAGGCTTCACAATGTCGGCGCGGTGTTTCAGATAATCCTTCGCCTTGAGCCCCGACGTGGTTGCGGGAGAGTAACTGAAGGCAGACAGCCCACCTAGCGGGATTGAGGGATGCGCAGCATTCGTGAACGCAACCGACGCCGGTTGCTGTGATGTCTTTGGAGGTTCGACGCGACCTTTCTTAGCAGGATTTCCAGGCTCCGGACCCGTAGACGCATTGAACTTCTGCTTTTGAGGGATCACTTGCGAAGGCGCTGGATCGGGCGCGGGAGCAGGAGCCGGCTGACCTCCGGGTTGTGGCATCTGGGGCATACTGTGCGATGGCGTCTGCTGAGGCCCAGCGGCTGAACCTTGGTAAGGTCCGCCCGTATGCTGACTTGTTGCTAAGTTCTGTACCAGAGTCTGCGGTGATACCTTGTAAGGCGCGGCAGAGGAATTCTGATTGGCCCCGCCTGCATGTTGATTTACTGCTGGGTTCTGCGATATGCCCTGTGAGGGAGCTGTGAAAGACCCAGCAGTAGGAGCTTGGTTGAATCCGCCTGTAGCCTGGGTTACTGGTGGATTTTGCGGGGGCGCGGAGTAAGTCGAAGGTGACGGCATCGGCTGAGGCGTTGGGTGGTGAACAGTTCTTTGCGCCTCAGGAGGGACTGTCTTCGAGGTCGGCGGAGGCGCACGCCCAGGCGCAGCTGCTGAGGCCGTCCTGTTTCCATCAGGCATTGTTGTCCAGGCTCTTGGAGGGCCAGTTGGGGCGCCTGACTGAGGTGCGCGAGGGGGCGCGCTGTTGGGCAGCTGGGTTTGTGTGGGGTTAAGTAATTGAGGAGACCCTGTGTTTCGAGGCTGAGGCGGAGCTGTCTTCGTAGGCGGCGGAGCAGGTGCTGCTGCTGCTGCTGCTGCTGCTGTTGTGGTAGGTAGATAGGGTTGCGTCGGCTGTTGAGGCTGTGGAGACGGTGCCCGCTGCGAGTGATAGAGAGCTTGCTGTGCTAGATTCTGATACGACTCGGGTCCCCGGGCAGGAAGAAAATGACCCTGCGAGCCTTGCGTCTGGGACACGGGAGGTGGCGCGCCGGTCGATGGAGGCGCATAACGAGGTGGAGCTTGCGGCGGGCGAGATTGTGCTGGAAAAGGAGCGGGCGCTGAGGAAGAGGTAGCACCGGTAGGCCTCACATTGGTTCTTTCCGCTGATGGACGACCTTGAGGGTAAGGTGGTTGAAATCGAGTGTGACTCGTTCCGGGCGACGGGTGGGACATTTGAGACGGCGGGGGCAAGGCAAAGTACGGATTTGCCTGGAAGTATGCCATATTATTGTCCTCAAACCTCTGCACCTCTGGGTCGTAGCCGTAGCGCAGGTAGCTCTCCAGCCACTGAATGTCATCGTTGTTTGACATTTCTCTTTGCCGGTATTAGTGCCTGGCCGCGTTATCAGGGTTTCGGGCGTGAATAGATTCCCGTCTGGATCATGATATGAAACCGAATGGCATAGATGTATGCAAGGGAGAGAGAATGAGTGAGAATCAACAACACATCAGTATTGCATATCCAGAAAATGTAACACGCTATGGAAACAAGAACCGAAGCTTGACGCGACTACGGATAGCGCATCGCGAAATGCAAATAGAACAATGACCGGAGGATCATCGACCCGGACAGCTCATCAGATAGGCAGGCGGTGAGAGCTGATTGGTACTTTCTGGCACTAGCTATAACCCGACGAATGAGAGCGCTTTTCGTAAGGCTAAGCGTAGCTCGATCATGTGACGCACACTAACTATTGAAAAGGTCCGCAGAAGTCGACCCTGGACTTCGATCCAACTCACAACACCCGAATACTGTCAACACTCTAGGGAATGTGCAATACGGTCATGTTCCTGAGTTAGCGGATATTTGCTGAAGCGTCCTAAAATGACTGGGACAATTTGCAGACAAACGCTATACCATTGGTCGCATCAAAGATGCAATTCTCCGGGCCTGACGACCTTTGACTTGCATGAACGATGCGACAACTCCGGACGCCAATCTACGAATCCCAATGGCTTAGCTGTCTGGATCTTATGCTTGACCTTGACATGCCCAAGCTCACCGGAAAGGACTGAAGCATCCTGCTCGAGAAGCTCGATTGTAACGATCACAACTGGTCAAGGCACGAGACTTGAATGGAAGCTACCCCGAGAAACGGACTACGACTACCACGACAAATGTAGCTGATTTCTCCCATGATACCCCCATAAAATCTCTCCCAGAGACTGCGCCAGGTTTATCTCCCCATCAACCCTTCACAATGCTTGATGGGGTATACGACTGGCGAAGAAGGAATAGCAAATAACTTTTACCTGGATCTAATTCAGGGGGTTCGTTTGCCTCGCTTGCAGACCCGCACTGATGTTACTTCGGTAGCAAGGACGCTGTGGGTTTGAGAGTGAGACACATACTGTAAACTCTAGCGGTTAGCTTAGGTAGCTAATCAATTGAACAATATGTTACGATACTTGATTCCTATCCCTCTCAATCTGAGCTCTACTGGTTGTCCACCTTCCAGCGGTGTTCTGTGATACTACAAAAGGCGTGACTTGGATGGCTGCGGTTGGGTTCGTACTATGTACTACTCATGAGCTCTGCAACCACTTCCTGAAGCTGGTTCGAGACATTCTCAAGGTGTAGCCTGTTTGCCATATCCGGCAATATGTTTTTATATCTCGAGCTAGATCTGGCAGTGTTTGACATATCCGAGTCGCCGCCTTGTCAAAGACCTCATCTACACACCGATACAAATAGTCACATAGAAGTAAACCAGACTACATTATCATGATATTATACAGAATAAAAAAATCGAGCTTCCATCCATCGCACAACCCAGCCCACAAACCTCAACTAGATGCCACCACCCGTTATCAGCAATCATGAGCCCATCAATCCATCAACAGCGCAAGAGAACCGCAAGTCAAAACAAATGCAAATAACCACACGCAACACGCAACAAAAAAAAAGGCTCAATCTCAAACTTCACTAAAAAAGATGCAACACCAAAACCCGCCCGCCGACCCAATCACCCATTTTCCACCCACTGCCAGTCACGCCATTCAACCCACGCACTTCCCCCAAGCCGGCAACCCACACCCCATCCCCACAAACAGGTACACCAGGAACACAACGACCACAACCAGCAACACGACCAACTTGACATTCTTCCACCACATGCGGCGGCGCAGCCCGCGGCTGCGCATGCGGAAATCATGCGCGCTGCCGCCGAGCCGATCCGTCTTGTCGACCAGCAGATCGATGCGCTCGCCACGCTCCAGCACGCGCTCGATGTTCTCCGTCATGATGTCGCGCACGCTGTCGATCTCGCGCCGCGCCGAGGCGAGCGAGTCCGCCGGCGGCGCCGTGTTGTACGTCTGCAGCAGCGCGCGGAGGTCCGGGTTGAACGCGGCGCAGCCGTAGGCGGGCAGCGTGGCGAAGTCGGTGCTGGCCGGCGGGTACGTCGCCAGGAACTTGCGCTTGATCTCCAGGAGGAAGGCGAAGGGGATGCGGCGGCCTTGTTCGGCGGTCGCGACCACGATGTAGCTGAGCGGGGCGTAGGAGTTGGGCTCCGTGGATGAGGAGGTGGAGGAGTCATTGTTGCTGCTGCTGCCGCTGGGAGAGTCCGCGATGTAGTGCACGAATAGGCGCTCGTGCGTGTAGGTGAGCTTCTGGGGTTGGTCGTGGGAGATCTTGGGGAGGATGATTGAGGCGAGGGAGGAGGCGGCGGATGAGGAGGTGCCGGGGGAGGAGTGTTCGGCTAGGATGGTGGTGCGGTGGGCGATGCAGGAGCTAGATTCCCAGGGTGTGAATTGGTCAGTCTTGGGCTTGTGCGTTGGATAAGTTGGGTTGAGAAGGGGAATGGAGCTGGCTGGCTAGCACCTGGGTTGTTTTTCTTTTCGGGGTTGAGGTTTGTGGGTTGGTAAAGACGTACTAGAGCAGGAAGCTCGAGGGCTTCGAGGATGAGGCGGCAGCCATGATGCTGAGCTGGTTATATTTCTGCCAATTTTATGGGGATGCTGCAAATGGTTGTCACCGGCTGGCAGGGCAGGCGAAGAGGTTGTTGCAGTTGTTGTCTCTGTCTGGTGCATTGATTGCGAGATAAGATCATCGGTCCGTGACGTCGCCGCCCCCAATCCCCGGATTCTATCACGTGCTACGCGGCCGCATTCCCGGGCATTGCTATTATGAGTAACTCTCTACACAAAATCAAACATTTGTTAACAGAGATGATCTTGCTTTAGATTCTCACTAATTTTTCTCAGTAGTATCCCACATAAAACTTCTTTTGTCCCCATGCATAAGCCTAGAGTGGCTGGATTGCATCTTCAAGTGACAAGTCTTCAAATTCTGCAATAGATTGTTCAATACCGCTTCTTTCGCTAGCCATGCTGACGGACATGACATCTGTGCCAAATCCACCCGTGGCCCCGTGCGACGCACCTTGCACCGTACTCTCATACACGGTGGAAGAATAGTCTGAGAGCGGCTTTGAAGCAACCGAGCTTCCTATATGTATCCCCGGTCCCGGCGTCGCGAATCCTGCATGCTCGGCATTTGGAATGTCAAGGTCGGCAAAGACACCTCCAGAGCCATCGTCGTTACCTCCCGCCCACAAGGGAAGATACTTCATTTCATTCGCAGTCAGGCAGCTGACGCAGTCAGTAAGTAGCTGATTCATTTCAGATCGATAGGATTCGCGCATCCTGTCTGACATTGAGTGCAGATACGAAGAAAGTTGGTTGAGAAAATCATGAGGGTTGAAGTTATAGTACCATTCCGGGTCAAAGCCTCTGAGATGGCAGGTTGGACCGGAGTGTGATTCGATCGAGAGACGCCCCAGGGTGTTGTTCCATGCTGCATCCAGCTCTTCAGTGTGGCGTGCAATAACAAGATTCGCGCCATAAATCGGACGACCCGAGCCGAAGTGGGCGTTGTAGCGGTTGACCTCTCCAATCATGTCATCCGTGTCGATAAATCCGATCTTGGTATCTTCCTGCGCTCGGAATGGCTGTAGATGACGGCCCAGATCGGCGACCGATTGACTTGCGATGGAGTTGGCTGAGCGCAGGCTTACGAAAGCTGACGGTGGGAGATCGCTCCAATCTTTTGACCCGATGTTCTTCCAGAAGGTGCGGCTCATAATGCGCTCGGTATAATGCATCTTGGTATAAGCTTTCAGAAACCGCTCTCCCGGGTAATCATCGTCGGGCTCATGTAGCACTGAGATCTCCTTCCAAGTTACCAGGTCGGTATCTAATGCATCAATAATATGATATCGCACATAGCTTTTGAGACACTTGATGAGCTTAGATGCAAGTGAACAAGGAGGGCCGCCTGCTTCGTGTAAGAGCACTTTGCGGACCGCAGGCAATCTTTCCAGCCATTGCATCTCGCTGCCAACGAGCTCAAGAAAAGTGTCAATGACATGGTCCTTGAAGCTTTGACTGGCATACTCCACTCGCTGCCGGTCCCCATCATCCAGCACCTCCCGCACCCGGCCGTACAGAGTCTCGTGCGAATCCCAAGGACGGGTATGTGTTGCGTCCGGCTCCGCCATGAGTCGCAAAGATGCCTCTCCGACCAAGACCGCAAATGAGTCCTGGCACAAGTAATCACACTGGATAGAGCAAGCTATTCCGTATGCAATCTCGGGGTGGATTTCAATGAGCAGAGAATTCCTACCTTCGTATATCCAGGTCAAGATCGGGACCTTGGCCCGTGGATGATGGGCGATGCCATACAGCTTAGCCAAGGCAAGGAATGTCCAGAGCTTGCACGGAGTGTTAAGCCGAGGTTTCAACCCCTCTAAGGCTTGGAGGACATGGGCAATCCCCCGGCGGTTGCGAGCCTCCGAATACTCAACAGGGATGCCGGGCTCGTCACTGCTACTGGAGCGTTCAAGTCCATCGTCTACGCCGCTAACAAGATGAAACGGGAGGGTCCAGCGATCTTGTGCGCGAGCCCATTTTCGTAACCCCAGCGGACACGAAAGCTCTGCAGTGAACCTCACCCCTTCATCGTCTGTGGTGGGCGGCGTGAGATCAAGAACAAACTTCACGCCGTCAGGCAACGCCCCATCCAGCTTGCGACGTTTTAGGACTCGGGACTGAGCTCTAGGCTCAAATAGTTCGCGAAAGTAGGTTGAATCCGTGGACAGTAGACTCTGGCTGTGAACTCGGTGAGGAATCGTAGCTGCGCATTGTGGTTGCAAGGAATAGCTTGACCGGTGTGCTTGTGTGTCGTCGATGTAAACGAGGGTGTCAGCACTGTCCATGAGGATCAAGTCAGGCCCGTTGCTGAGATTCATCGCGATGCCTGGAGCAAAGTGGTGTCCTGTGGTGTGAGATGCCTGAATCGATGGATAGGCTTTGTGGTTGGCTCAGGAAATATCAAAACCAAGTTCTGAACTGAAGCTGAGAAATAAGAATGGAAGACTGGATAGAGAGCCAGCGGAGAGGAAAAAGAATGAAAGAGAAGGTGTTGACTCGAGAAAGGAAGAAGGGAGGAGAAGAGAGGAGAAGAGAAGTGAGAAAAGAAAGATGAATGTATACAGCAGATGAGTTGTGTTATGAGAGGCGGGAAGGAAGAGAGAGAGAGAGAGAGAGAGAGAGAGAGAGAGAGAGAGACCTGCCCGTCACAGCCTCCGCCCAGCCTTACTTGCTGCCTACAGGTGAATGGCTAACCCTGTAGTGTAGAGCTCACTGACGACAGTCCAGTACAAGTGAATAAGGTGCAAGCAACTTTAGTCTTGAAGGTATTGCTTTCTCAGTTATAGTCTCCACTAACTGTAAATAGGTGAATCAGTCTCGACTGTTTGCTGACACAACCAACCCTTGCATTGCGAAGTAGCACAGCAAACAAAATAGACAACCCAAAAACTGTCTCACTTACCTCCTATGCCCTCCTCATTGGGTGCTATGGAGAATCTCCTGCAAAGTCAATGTGTTACAAGATAAATATGTGGGAAAACAGTCATGAATATCCTTCAGGGCAGGAAGACAAAGAAGGCACTCAAGCGAAGATAGGAGGTTTTTGGAGGGCTATGCCTAACTCTGGGTTGTGTGAACAAGCGATCAATTACCTTAGCATTACATACATGTATGCGGAATCAAGTCCGGACTAATCAGGCTGCAAGATTAAGCAACCCATGCCCGTTTCTCATATTTGGGTTGGTGGTCTCAGCCCCAGACTTGGTAAGAGAAGCTTGTCTCAGAAATGGCTGCAAGGCTGAGTCATTAAGGAGGCGGTTGTGAAGCTCTGTGAACATTGAACATGAGGCGATACGGGGACTGATAGCATTATGTTGAAATAGCCTCTCAACAGTTGGAAAGGGTATCAAATAGAAGAAAGCTATGTAGCATAACAACAAATTGATGAGACAGCCAACCAAATACTAATACAAAACATTAAACAGGTCATAATCATTGATGCATCAACATAATAAAACCGCTACCCATTCTGGGAAACGGGTTTCCCCTCGCGCAACTGAGTGCCTGACTCGTCTGAGTATTGGCCTTCGCTGCTAGCCTTGCTTTTGCGAGACCCCGGGCCATTCTTCTTGTTCTCCTTCTTGTCACCCGCCCGTAGCTTCTTCTTCTCGCGCTGGGTAATGGCTTGCTCATCAGGTCGACTTTGACTGCGACTCGCACCCCCGCGCCGGAGGTCCTTGACTTCTTTGATCACCTCGCGGAAACCTTCTTCAATGTTGTTCATCCGAGCCAAGACAAGTTTACTGAGCATATCTTGGTTACTGCTCGGACTGTCGGGGCGTCTGATGTTGCCCGTTGCGTAGGCCATTTGAGTGGTCATACTTGATGGAGCCCCTCCAAGGAAGCCGTTCGTGATTGCTTTGTTATCACCCAGGTCGGAGCCCAGACCGTCGAGTATTGATGACCGATTGCGTCCTCTAAAATGAGAGTCGGGTGCTGAGAAGCCATTCATGTCAGGGACAGACATGGGGTCAGATCTATGCAATGTCGTGATCCGGGACCGACCTCCGTCCGTGCTGTGTCGTCGTAGGGCCCAAGGTCCTCGGGATGGCGGTCCGATTATACTGCTTGCACGGTCTGGAGTGTGAGCCCTCGGCCTAACGGGGTTTGGTGAAGCATCCGTTTCCTCATGTTCACTTCTCCGAGAGGTCGGATTATAGAGCATAGTGGCACCCGAGTAGTTCCGTTTATGATATTTGATACGCCGAGTGGGACTGTTCTTGCGAGACTTGAGTCGAGCCGTTGAGGGTCGGGAGCTGAAAAATTTTGGTTGCGTGGTGTGAGAGCTTTCATTTACGTTCATGAGGGTGTTCTCCTCAGAGTTCTTCGACGGCGACCGATGTTCTCTCTGCTCCCCAGTACATTCGCCATTGTCGTCGCTAGTTAGCTCATCATCACCCTCCATTCCTGTTTGCCGAGAAAGCTGTCGGGTTCTCGCAGGGATTAAGAAGCCTCTCCCAGGACGAGGCGTAGCTGGCGATGATGCCACCGGGTGTGCAGACTCCTCAGGATTAGAGGCAGCCGACCGGTTCGACTCTGTAAAATCGCGCAGGCTTCGTGTTGTTCGCCGCTGGTATCCTGATCTATTCCTCGGTAACCTTTCCAAACGATTCACTTCGTCCGAGTCTTGCTCATCAGGAGGATTAATGGGTCCTGAACCCATGGTCTGCATCCAATGATTGACAGCCAGGTCGTTTTCTCGGGGATGAAGCTTCCTTAGTCCTCTACTTGGTTCATCCTGATAAGGTTGTCGGAAGACAGCTTCCAGGGCCCGATCCTTCTGGTAAGTAGCCACCGAGGGCTCTCGTACAAGTCGATTTCCCTGAGAGGTAAAGGCTCTGAACCGGTTGCGACGAGGTCGAAAGCGGTCTGCACTGTCGGTACGAGCAGAAGGATCAATGAGGTCGATAGAATCAATGACTTGGAAGCTGAGGACCGTCTTCTCATAAAAACAGATGGAAAATAAGATTGGCAAATGGGTAACTTTAATGATTGTGCGATTGAGCCGAACGAACTGTCTGAAAGACATGAAATAGCGGAATGGAGCAATCAACCATGCCAGTATGTTCGTCGGTGCAACATAGGAGAAGAGGGCATCCGACTTCACCATGGAGATGGTATTGACGGCGAAGAGAAATTGGTGCTCTTGGTTAGCGTTTTGCACAATACCCATGAAGGAATTGGTGAGAACCGTGATCAGGATGGTCACAACAACAAAATGACAAATGAAGAGGAAGATAGTCAATATGAGTTTCCCCAATGCGTTGTAGTCTTCCCACAGGGTCCACGCAGTCGGGGTGAATCCCATCAGCATCTGAAATAGAGCATAGGCCACAGCGCCAGGCGAGTGGTCCTCGCCGTTGCCAAACGAAAGTGTAAATGCAACGAAAAATCCACTGCAAGCGATGATAATCAACAGAAACACTGCGATGAGGTCCGACGCCATGATCCGGAAAGCGATGAGCAGTTGAGAGAAGTAGCGATAATGATCGAGGATTGAAAAGAGGCGTGGGAACAACAATACAGCATTCGCAGCCAGGATATCATATGCCTGATCGGCGATGTATTGGTTGCGAGTGTAGGGCATGACAGCACCATAAAGCCGCATGCAGTAATAGCAGAAGAGAAGGAACAAAATGCCGAGGTCAAACAGATTCCAGAAGCTCATGAGATATAGACTGAAGCCCTGTTCGTTGAAACCGACAATCTCGTCGAGCATGAAGCCAGCGCTCCATAACCAGAAAATAATCTCGAGGGAGGTGATCTCAAGGCGACGTTGTTGCAGAACGGCCAGAAACAGAATCAGTAAAATTGCGAATGATAGTGTGGATAGAAATTGACGATAACGAGGCACCCGCAGCCTGGATAGCTTGAATAGGGAAGCATCTCTTGGATCATAAATAGTCACTGAACGGCGGAGGCTGGACATTCCAGATTGTGTCCGCTGGTGGGCTGGTACCAGGTTGGGTGTCGAGCCATAAGTTAGCCCTCCGTTCTGTTGAGGTCTGGCTAGCGAGCGATGAAGATTGTCAGCAGCTGAATGAAACACTATTGTGCCTGCCCAAATGGCCTCTAGCTGTTGTACGACAAGTGGATGCGATAAAAATCGTTTGGCTTGAGCCCGAATGGCTATTTCGAGGCAGGAGATGCGAGCGATGCCAGGTCGCTTGTTACCCTGCGTGGAATTCCAGCCGAGTGCGCGTTCAGTGGCCGCCTGCCCATTGAGTGGGTAGAATTCATAGGACAGAGCATCGATCAGTTCTCGCGTTGTATACTCCCTCAGCAACTTGATAGTGAGAAGTTCGCAGACCATGGCCCTGGTCTGGCTTACACCACTGTTTCCCGGATTTGAATGAACCTCTTTTGTGAATTGCAAGCAGTTGGTCATCAGCGCGTATAACGTCGCCCTGGAAAAGTGTCCCGTTCGGATTTTCTGCTGAATAGGCTTCACAAGGAATTGAGAAATCTGGGGCGATCGTAATTGATCCCATGTTAAAGTAGTTTCGCAGCGCGTGACGATCAAAGGGCGAATGGCGTGTGTGATATCATAAACTGGAAGAGTATCTAGAGTTCGTAGAATGGTTAGCCGATGTATATGCGCAGCTCATGGTACATGCTAATTCATACCGAGGTGAGAGGCAGAGAAGATAGGAAGAAGAGGGCTGGTTTCAACAGGGGTATCTTCCTCTTCCTCTTCATCTTGATCGGGACCCGGTCCTCGACCATCTGCTTCATCAAAGCCATTATTATGTTGACCGAGCTCTCCATATCCTTGTTCCCACCCCCTTTGCGGGGCGTTGTTATCAAAGAACGGCCATGGTGAATCTCGAGTAGTATAAGGTGATGAGAACGGAGAACGATCCGCATACGTTCTCCGTTTCTTTGGGCGTAAGAGAGAGGCGAGCATTCTTTGGAGCGATCCTGGAAGGTCACGATCGCGCGGGAAGCGGTGGCTCCAAGGTTGTTTATCTTATCATGTTCCAGCAGCACCAGAAACGAACAAAGAGAGCAATGTACTATTCAAGTTCAAAGACGACGACGGAAAGACCAGCGACAGCCTGTAAAGAGATTGATAGAGGGATTAGTGAAAGTCGCCAGGCAAGTTCGCGTGATCGGAGTAAACATTTTTGCGCCGAGTTAGATAAACAGGGAGAGCTACCGAATGATGAAACGATTTGCTGCAAAAATTGACGCAGCTCACATGCGCCTGCAGTGCATCAGCAGTAGCAGAAGGGATTGGAAGATCGCAGGACTCGCAGGAAATTTATTAGCCATCTTGAGATTTCATGCGACAACGCCCAGGCCGCGTCTTAGCGTAAGATAAGTAGCTGCTCTAAGCCTTGGCCAGCCCAGGCCGAAGCACTGACCTGGATAGTGAGACCATTACGTAGGGGAACTCGGAAGGGAGGCCAGCCTTAATTATGGCGCGGTCACGGATAAGTTAGTGAGTTACTTATTGTGGATAGTCTGTTTACTCAGTAACTACCTACCTCTCTACTACAGGTCGACCGCCCGCCCCTCTTCAGATTGTACTGCACATCAATGCATGCACTTTCAAGATGAAAATTGCATACTTCATCCATCTGGATAAGTCAAAATCTATGAAAGTATTGAGGTGTTGTTTTCTGTCGCCAGTTCTTGCTAGCATGTCCAGAATCCCATACTGGTCGGGTATT